TCCTCATCCTCTTCTTCATCCTCATCCTCTTCTTCTTCTTCATCCTCATCCTCTTCTTCTTCTTCTTCTTCTTCTTCATCCTCATCCTCTTCTTCTTCTTCTTCATCCTCATCCTCTTCTTCTTCTTCTTCCTCATCCTCTTCTTCTTCTTCATCCTCATCCTCTTCTTCTTCTTCTTCTTCTTCTTCTTCATCTCATCCTCATCCTCTTCTTCTTCTTCTTCTTCTTCTTCATCATCATCCTCATCCTCACCATCATCCTCTTCTTCTTCTTCTTCATCATCCTCATCATCCTCTTCTTCTTCTTTCTTCTTCTTTCTTCTTCATCCTCATCCTCTACTTCTTCTTCTTCTTCATCCTCATCCTCTTCTTCTTCATCCTCATCCTCTTCTTCTTCTTCTTCTTCTTCTTCTCATCCTCATCCTCTTCTTCTTCTTCTTCCTCATCCTCTTCTTCTTCTTCTTCATCCTCATCCTCTTCTTCTTCTTCTTCATCCTCATCCTCTTCTTCTTCTTCTTCTTCATCCTCATCCTCACCATCATCCTCTTCTTCTTCTTCATCCTCATCCTCTTCTTCATCCTCATCCTCTTCTTCTTCTTCTTCATCCTCTTCCTCTTCTTCTTCTTCTTCATCCTCATCTCTCTTCTTCTTCTTCTTCTTCTTCTTCTTCTTCATCCTCTTCTTCTTCTTCTTCTTCATCCTCATCCTCTTCTTCTCCTTCTTCTTCCTCATCCTCTTCTTCTTCTTCTTCTTATTCTTCTTCTTCATCCTCATCCTCTTCCTCTTCTTCTTCTTCTTCATCCTCATCCTCTTCTTCATCCTCATTTTCTTCTTCTTTCATCATCCTCATCCTCTTCTTCTTCATCCTCATCCTCTTCTTCTTCTTCTTCATCCTCATCCTCTTCTTCTTCTTCATCCTCATCCTCCTCTCTTCTTCTTCTTCTTCTTCTTCTTCTTCTTCTTCTTCTTCTCCATCATCCTCATCCTCTTCTTCTTCTTCTTCTTCTTCCTCACCATCATCCTCTTCTTCTTCTTCATCCTCACCCTCTTCTTCTCATCCTCATCCTCTTCTTCTTCTTCTTCCTCTTCTTCTTCATCCTCATCCTCATCCTATTCTTCTTCCTCATCCTCATCCTCTTCTTCTTCTTCTTCATCCTCATCCTCTTCTCTTCTTCTTCTTCTTCTTCTTCTTCTTCTTCTTCGTCCTCATCTTCTTCTTCTTCATCCTCATCCTCTCTTCTTCTTCTTCTTCTTCTTCTTCTTCTTGCTGCTGGGGGGACTTTTTAACATAGGCCTCTGTATGGCCTTCAATTTAAGCTGCTTACGCTTCGCCACTCTGCCATGGGCCCCTGTACCGCCTCCTCATGCTGCTGCCAGGTCCAGAGTGTCTCATGGGTCCCTGTACGGCCTCCCATTGCTGCTGTCTCCATCGCCACACTCTGCCATGTGCCACTTTCAGGTCTCCTCACACTGCTGGTGGGTTCCATTTTGTCATAGGGTGCTGTATGGCCTCCCATTGCTGCTGCCTCCACCGCCACACTGTGGCTCCACACTCTGGTTTTGGCCCCGTGACTGCCCAAATGAGTGAAGTGTGCGGTGATTCTAAGATCGACGGCACTCATCTGCATGTCATACTGACTGACAGTATTATTTCTCTTCCCCAGCAGACTCCAAGGGCATTTAAATTAAAGGTACAGTGTTCTGCACTAATATAAAGGCTCTCTGAAGCCTAGAAACCCTTTTAATAAGTTAAATTTGCAGCGAATAAATTCGCATCGAATCAATTTTATTCCGCAAATTCGGCGAATCAGCCGAATCGAATTTTTGAATAATTCGCTCATCTCTAGTTACAATCCATAATCCACAATCCATATGTGTTTTTGATGGTATATGGGTTATATACTGGAAATTTCTATTTCCACAAAATTTTCACAGCGCCTTTATTGATCACTATTGATGTCACCATACCGCAGCTCACAATTTTTTGTGAAGTATTTTAATATTTTGTAACCTATTCCATTCTTTTCTATTATTTTATATTATATTCTAATGTATTCTGTTTGAATTCAAATTTATTCTATTAAAATTTTTAGTTTCTGAATCAGTTATATTCTTTCTATTTTATTCTATTTTGTTGTCTTTCTAATCTATTCTGTTCTATTCTTTGATTCTCTATTCTAATATTTTCTTTTCTAATCTTTTCTATTCTATCTTTTCTTTTCTGTTCTATTCTATTTTAATTGATTCTATTGCTTAATTTTCTGTTCTATTTTGCTGTTTTACTCTATTATTTTTTCTATTCTATTCTTTGATTTTCTATTATAATATTTTATATTCTATTCTAATAGATTCTATTCTTTTCTATTTCTTTATTTTCTATTCTATTTTTTCTGTTTTACTCTATTATTTTCTACTGTAGTCTGTTCTGTTCTTTTATTTTCTATTCTGTTCTTTTTTTCATTTGTTCTTTTCTATTCTATTATTTTATATTTCTTTATTTTCTGTTCTCTTTTACTCTATTCTTGTTTTCAAATTGGTTTTCAAATGTGTTTTCAAATATTTCTATTGTATTATTTTCTACTGTAGTCTGTTCTGTTCTTTTATTTTCTATTCTCTTCTTTTTTTTTCATCTGTTCTTTTCTATTCTATTCTTTTATTTTCTATTCTCTTCTTTTATATTTCTTTATTTTCTGTTCTATTTTATTCTACTCTTGTTTCAAATTGGTTTTCAAATATTTCTGTACTATTATTTTCTACTGTAGTCTGTTCTTTTATTTTCTATTCTGTTCTTTTTTTCATCTGTTCTTTTCTATTCTATTCTTGTATTTTCTATTCTGTTCTCTTCTTGTATATTTCTTTATTTTCTGTTCTATTTTATTCTATTCTTGTATTCAAATTGGTTTTCAAATGTGTTTTCAAATATTTCTATTGTATTATTTTCTACTGTAGTCTGTTATGTTCTATTATTTTCTATTCTGTTTTTTCTGTTTTTCAAATTTGTTTTCAAAATTCTAATTGGTTTTCGAATTTGCATCCGAATTTGAATTGGTTTTCAAATGTGTAGCACTGCTGGGGGTGATTTGGCAGTTTAGCAGTTTTTCTTTTGTAAAGAAAATGTGCAGTAAACCATGGTAATAAAAGCTGTTCTTTGTTTCTCTGGCAATGTTATATTTTCTCCCAACCTCTATCACTGTCACTTTTCTAGAGAGTTTAGCCTATTTGTAGAAAACAAATATACAGGGGGCTATTAACTAAAGATGGAGAGTGCAAAATCTGGTGCAGCTCTTATAAAACCCAATCAGCTTCCAGATTTTATTGTCATAGCTTAATTGTACAAGCTGAGGTTAGAAGCTGATTGGCTACCATGGACAGCTGCATCAGATTCTGAGTGCCCAAGTTTTAGTAAATCTACCTCAAAGTATCTCAAATAAAACAAAGGGAATAAAAGAGAAGTATGGCCAAAGCTCTTTTGGTCACACTTCTCATGTGGATCACAAGAGTGCACTTAGTTCTGCACTCCTGTAACCCAGATTCATCCCGCAGCGGGCTAAAGCTTGATGTTGTATGACATCATAGATCCGGTCCAGGCTCTGCAGAAATCCTGACAATAATGTTGAGATTCACCAAGATGCCTGACTGGCAGCTGGCTCAGCCTCTCTGAGAGCTTGAGCCAGCCGCTCCCGCCCCCCTCCACAGCCTGGTGCTGCAGTAGGGTTGCCACCTCATCCCTTTAAAACCAAACACATTAACCACTTCTTGTCCAGCTCATGTACTTAAACAGACAGACGGGAGAAGTTCAGGGGCGGGTGGCCATTTATAAATGCCCTCCCAGTTCCCTGCTTGTGTGCGCTCCCCAGGAGTGCACGGCACCGCGATCCGGTGCCCACTGTGTCCTCCGGACACAGTGGAACACCGATCACTGTACGGGACCTCTGTGTGAGGTCCCAATCATGTGATCACTGATTGGCCAATCAGTGATCACATGAATAGTAGTAAGCAAGATGTCACTTCTGACATGTGACAAGCTGTGACCAATCACAGCTCACACAGTATTTCTCAATGGCTGCAAGAATGCAGCCAGAGAGACGGATATATGATTGCTTTTACAGCTTTTATGGGTGTGAAAGCAATCAGTGTAAAAAAAACCCCCCTTAAATAATAATATAAAAAAATAAAAATAAAATGTAAAAAAAAAATATTGCAAAATTATAATTTTTGGTTATAATCTAATTTGGGTTATTTTTTTTTTACTAAAAAGATAAAAAGAATACATTTTGGGCAAGATTTATGAAGAAAGATTATGTATTTGCAAAATTTTCTAAGAAAAACACTTTTTCACACCCATGCAATCCGATTCTGCACATCGCACCTCGTTTGGGCAAACCAATTTCGGGGTGTTGTTAACGCAACATACACACCCGCAGCGGTTTGCATGAAAGGGGTTCGATTCTGATGCGGTGTGGAATTCGCACAGAAACCATTGCGAAGTCCACACCGCATCAGTGTGAAGCCGGGTTCAGTGCCATAACTGCGTTAAATTAGCCTCAGAACCTGTGTAATTAATATGTTATTGGTTTTAAAGGGATGAGGTGGCAATCCTATGCTCCAATGAGCACTGAAGAGACAGGGAAGAGGGCCAGTAAATGACAGTCACCAGTCTGTGCTCAGGGTGCACCTGAGAACTGATTAGTGGTCATATGATCCCTCGGTTCTTGGTCTAAGGCTAGGTTCACACCTATGCAGGTTGCATTTGATCTGCATTATGTTTTGCGTTGCACTTTGCATTTTTTCACCTGCGTTTTTGTCTCATTTTTGATTCGTTTTGCCTTTTTTTTTTTCATTTTTTAAATTTTTCTTCTTGCTAGGCAGATTTAAAATGAAAAACGCATGAAAAACGTATCAAAAACGCATCAAAAACACACTACATGCTTTTCAGCAGCATTTCCATTGAAGTGTATAGAACCAAAAATGCAACTTTTTGCATTTAAAAAAGTCCCTGACCAGGGGCGGTCTGACCATTTGGAAACTTGGGCACTGCCCGAGGGCCCGGGGTCAGTAGGGGGCCCCCATGAGATGCCCCTGGTACCTTTTTCATAGGCTTTTTTGAGTTTGGGCAAGGACACAGGGGCCCCATGATCCCCTATTGCCCGGGGCCCTATAAGTTGTCAGTCCCCCTGTCCCTTTCCAAAAAACGCACTGGGTGAAAACGTGCAGATGTGAATACGTTCCATTGGAAATTATGTTAAATGGATTGTACTGCCTTTCTGCAAAACGCAAAATGCTGCAGAAAATGCCTAGGTGTGAACCAAGGGTTAGGGCCAGGAAGGGACAGCTGCAGCATTGGACTGTTGCTGCAGCCACATAGAGTATGTGAGTACAGGGGCGGACTGACAACTCATAGGGCCCCCTGGGCAATAGGGGATCATGGGGCCCCTGTGTCCTTGCCCAAACTCAAAAAAGCCTATGAAAAAGGTACCAGGGGTATCTCATGGGGCCCCTACTGACCCCGGGCCCTCGTGCGGTGCCCAAGTTTCCAAATGGTCAGTCCGCCCCTGGGTGAGTATGTACGTTTGTTTTTTTTTTAATTCTGCACTGATCTTTAAAAATACTGAGTATTGTACATGTGTTAATTAGGGATGAGTGAATTTGTCTGGTTTTCAGTTCATGAACAGTTTTCTCAAATCTTGCCTGAAATTCACAAACTTTGCAGCAAACCCTATGCAATCTATAGGGACAAACATTGTTATTCTATTATGACCATTTAAAGGGCAAATAAGTATGGTATTTTCCAACAAAATGCACGGGAGGCCAGGCATTGCCATGGGGGACATGTACCGATGCCAAAATGCCAACATGATAACAAAAAAATCAGATTTTTTTTACCTGCACACAATTGTCTGCTAACCCTTACAGCTCCAACACATATGGATAATATGGCTGCGGTGAGTCTAGCCTTCTATGGAAAGTCGGTTGGGTTATCCATTGCTGCAAATGATTGCTTGACCAGAAAAAATGGATATGCAGTAGATTGTAGGCTGTTCCTTTTCACTAGTGGTGAAACTGTACACTTTTTGGGTAAATGTTTGTGATATGAGAACTCCATGATCCCAGGGATCCACAGCAAACTCATTGTAGAGGCAAATTCAATCATCATCCCTAATGTTATTTGGGGAACTTCAAGTCCCCAGAAGACTCGGGTTGGTATGAAATGCGTAGGGCCAATCCTATTTCTTACTGACATCATGAATGCCTCTTATTTCATGGGTGTCATCATTATTACATGCCTGTTTCATGATATGTTTGTGAGTACCGCTTAAGTACATTAAAATTGTTTTATGGAAGATATTGGGTGTGGTTTTGGTTCTTTCAGTTTTTTGAGTGACCCTTGTGAGAAGTGGAGGTGATCTGTAGTATAATCCAGAGGGGATCCATCAGATGCGGAGGTGCTGTGTATGGGATGAGTGGAAAACCATGCTGGTTTAACCCCTTATAGTGTGGAGGTTGATTTTTTGGTAAGCAGTCTTTTCTGAAGGTGGTGGTTTCTTACTTTGAGGTGCAGTCCTATATTCCATCACAGCATTGGTAGCACACTAATGGATGGACTTTATGACATGTATCTGTTATGAACTCTCCTTTTTTTATTTTAATTCACAGCGGAATTCCAGCCATTTTTGTGTTTATTAAGTCAGCAGCTACAAAACCTGTTGCTGCTGACTTGCAATAAACACACACTTACCTGTCCCAGAGTCCAATGATGTTCTCACCCGTGCCGTCCCTTCTCCCCTTCTCTCCTCCACAGTGCGGGCATCTCAACTGTGGGCACCAGGCTGTGACAGCTTGTGGCTTCACAGCCTTGTGCCCGCTGTAATACGTGAGTCGCACTGCGCCTTCTGATTGGCCTGGCAGTCTTCTGGGACCTGTGAAAGTTCCCAGGAGACTGCAGGAAGGAGGAGGGGGCCGAACTTCCAGCTCACTTCGCTGTGGCAAACCGAGCCTGAAGTGGGAGCGGGTACCTGTCAAAAACCACTATTCTCTGAATACGATCTTTTAGCCAGTTTTCTATCCACTTACACACAGATTTTTCTAAGCCTGTAGACTTTACCTTACACATTAGCCATGTGTGGGGAACTGTGTCAAATGCTCTTGCAAAATCCAAGTATACCACATCCACCGCCACCCCTCTGTCCAAGTATACCACGTCCACCGCCACCCCTCTGTCCAAGTATACCACGTCCACCACCACCCCTATGTCCAAGAATACCACATCCACCGCCACCCCTCTGTCCAAGTATACCACATCCACCGCCACCCCTCTGTCCAAGTATACCACATCCACCGCCACCCCTCTGTCCAAGTATACCACGTCCACCACCACCCCTCTGTCCAAGTATACCACGTCCACTGCCACCCCTCTGTCCAAGAATACCACGTCCACCGCCACCCCTCTGTCCAAGGTTTTGCTCACCTCCTCATAAAAAGAAATCAGATTTGTTTGACAACTTCTGTCTTTCATCAATCCATGCTGTCTGTTGCTTAAAATATTTTTTTTCCAGCAAGAACTCATCTATATGGTCTTTTATTAAACTCCAGTATCTTGCCAACTATAGAAGTTAAACTAACAGGTCTATAATTCCCTTTTTAAATATAGGTACCACATTGGACTTACGCCAATCCAGTGGTACTATGCCAACCATTAAAGAGTCCCTAAAAATTAGAAACAATGGCTTTGAAATGACAGAGCTCAATTCTTTAAGGACCCGTGGGTGTATGCCATCCAGTCCAGGTGCTTTATTCACCTTTATTCTGTCTAAATATTTCTGGATCATATCAATTGTGAGTCAATGTGGATCATCTGGAGCAGTGTCAATACCATGCCCATTATGAACAAGAGCTCCCCCATGCTCCTTTGTATACACAGAGCTGAAGAAGCTATTTAATAAATTTGCCTTCTCTTTGTCCCAGTCACCCAGATTATTTTGTAAAGGGCCTACATGCTCAGACTGAACCTTTTTACTTTTAATATATTTGAAGAATTTTGGGGGGTTTGTCCTGCTATATTTTGCAATCTGTTGTTCCTTTTCAATTTTGACGGCATTGATTTCCTTTTTACATATTCTGTTATATTCTTTGTAATGTTTAAACAATGATAGTGTGCCTTCATTTTTATATTTGATTAAAGCTTTTTACTTATTATTTATAACTTTTTTAACTTTGTCTGTAAGCCACATAGGTTTGATTTTTAGCCTTTTAGGTAGCCCAGCAGTGTCACCCACCTGTGCCCAACAGTGCCACCCATCAGTGCTGCCCAGCAGTGCCACCCAGCAGTGCTGCCTATCAGTGTCCATCAGTGCTGCATATCAGTGCAGCATCATCAGTGTCGCCTATCAATTCCACCTATCAGTGCCTCCTGTCAGTGCCCATCAGTGCTGCCTATCCATGCCACCTAATCAGCGCCCATCAGTGCTGCCTATCAGTGCCCATCAGTGTTGCCTATCAGTGTCCATCAGTGCTGCCTATCAGTGCAACCTCATCAACGCACATCAGTGAAAGAGAAAAATTACCTGTTTGCAAAATTTTATTAAAGAAACTAACTTTTTTTTTCAAATTTTTTGCTCTTTTTTTGGTTATAGTGCAAAAAATAAAATACCCAGATGTGGTTAAATACCACCAAAAGAAAGCTCTATTTGTGTGAAAGAAATTACAAAAATGTCATGTGGGTACAGTGTTGCATGACCGTGCATTTGTCATTCAAAGTGCGACAGCGTTGAAGGCTGAAAATTGGCCTGGGCAAGAAGGGGGTATAAGTGCCCAGTAGGCAAGTGGTTAACAGAAGTGACCCTGGCAGGTTGAAAGCTACCTGATCGCTCCTACCTACATGCAGTAAGAAGCCCTACTCCGGTCCCAGTGGTTGCCAAGCTCTTTGGTGTGCTCAGGATCTCTGTAGGCAGTGTAGTAACCCTCAGAAGCAAATATTGCACCCTAAAATCACTAAAGAGCACCTTAAAATGACCTCTGCACATGACTCCAAAGTATTTTGCCAAAATCGTAAACTTTCAGCCAAATATCCTGAATTTCGATAACATTTACTGAGAACAAAATCTCTTGTCTGTCTTTAGAACTTCACGTTTGTATTGTCGCTCATGCTTTGTGTAGATTTTCCTCCAACAAGACAGGAGGGGAGGAGACATTTATCTGGGACACTAAACAGAGTAGAGCAGGTTTGGGCTCTGTCGTGTTTTTATTGTTGTCTGCTGAGACTTTCCAAGGGAAAGATTCCCATGAACTCCTGAAGTTCCACTTCAACACATGCTGAGTTGATAGTTTACATTCTACATCTCACAACCATGTAGATGTCAAAGAAAATTTCAAAGGAAACTATAAAAAAATTTTCCCTTTAAGTGCCGAAGATCACTAAAAAGCTCTTTGCTTAGGATTCTATTGATTCTAGATATCTTTGACATAAGGCAGTTTCAAACCCACAGTCTAATTTTACTTTGTTTTGTCCAGCTATGGCAACAACAAGTAATGCATGCATATGTTGTGATTCTTTTGGATCTAGAACCACATAGAAGGTCCCAGTGGAAAGTACTCCATATCTGGAAACTATGGGCAACCCAAAACACACTGTTGTCTGGTTCTCTCCTAAACTTTATTACTGAACATGTGCCACTGAAAGGGTTAAGTGTGTGATCTCAGCTGCAGGAAATGTAGTGGTCATGACTAAACAACTATTCTGTCAACAAATGGTATGATCTAGCACTGCAAGAGACACCTCCCATTACTTTCTAATGTAGAGCTAAATTATTTCAGTGATGACAATCAGTGCACTGAAAGTTGAGACATTTCACAGACATATCACCCAGCTTACCCAACTCTTACAACATTCCTTATCATGGCACAGAGCAACAATTTGAGGAAATGCCAATTTTAAATGCTTGAAGCCGCAGACAGGTGGATGACCTAAAGAGGAATTCTGGGTTATTTTAGGTTGCGTTTAAAGCTCAATTCTAAGCAAATCAAATATTGTCCAAGATCCTAGTTAAATCGTAGTGCCCTTTGTGTATTTGTACCACATACATGTAGTGATCCAGCATAAAAAAACTCATGAACTTTACCTTTAATAAAGACGGGTCACTATTCTTCCCTGTGCTTGTATGGGGTGAGATATCTTGTATCAGCACATTGTAAAAGTTTTCTAAAGGAAGCCTATAGTTTGGGGTAGTGGCGGAACTACCAGGGTTGCAATGGTTACACTGGGCCCTGGCATTCTGCTACTGTGGGGGTCCCTGCACTGTGCTTAGTTCTCCTGTGTCCCTGTGCTCAGTGTCTGTCAGTGTCTTCTGTTAATCACCCAATCCCCCCCACTGCGTAACCATAACTCGCTTGGTTGGTGCTGTGGTATGTCTTCCCTCCCCTCTTTCTGTCCTCATCCTCAACTGGTCCAAGTGATGGGGCTCCCAGCAGGCTCAGGCTGCTGCTGCTTCTCCTCGGATCAGGTGCGGACTGACCATTTGGAAACTCGGGCACTGCCCGAGGGCCCGGGGTCAGTAGGGGGCCCCCATGAGATGCCCCTGGTACCTTTTTCATAGGCTTTTTTGAGTTTGGGCAAGGACACAGGGGCCCCATGAACCCCTATTGCCCGGGGGCCCCATGAATTGTCAGTCCGCCCCTGCCTCGGATACATATGGATCTGTACATCCAAATATGTGTGGGGTTAGCTTAGCAACAACAAGGTGAGAGAGAACTCAGGAGGGGACCCAGTGAGAGAGAAATGAAGGGAGCAGCCAGGGGCCACAGGCTATGTGCAGCGCAGTGATGATGTATCTGCTACTTTCACTGGTTAATATATGGGTTTGCAAAGACATATAAGTCACACAAAGTAGACATATATCTGATATACTGTAGCTATTGAGGGATGTTTAATTTAAAGTTTTTGGGTTCAGAGTTCATTTTTCAAGAACACAAACATGCCAAAGATGATGTATTATGTATTTTATTTACTACTTGAAAATATAATGTGCATTAAGGCAAAGTAATATGTCCTCCCAGTATGCCACAGACATGTAATAGGTTTCGGTGGGGGATAGGGGCAATGACATATGCTGCTATCCCAATCACAATTCAAATATAAAGCTGCCAACACTGCTCCATAAGAAGAATCAGTGATGTAGTTTAATGGATATCAGACAGAAGCCGGTCCAATTGCAAAAGGCCCCTTTGTCCGCTCCCTATCTCTATTCTAACAGTGCTCTCATCTTGGGACACATACTGTATATCAATCAATAAACTGAGAGGAGGTATGACTTGGAGGTAACCCATTTTTCCTTAAAAGTGCAGAGACACCAGAAGCCCAAACTTGCTCAATGGCAGATGAGAACTACTAGAATATACATTTTTCTGCTAGTTAGAAGCTGTAGACATTCTTATGAAGAAGAGGTAGGCTGTTATGTGTTCAGATTTAATCTCTGATACATGGGTTTTAAATGACTGTCCATCCTTCGCAAAAGAAAATGAAAGAATCCTGTTGAAATTAACCCTGATTTCTTTTGAAAATGACAGTTGCCGGTTGCTTTAATAGTTTGAGACATTTACCTGGAACATTAAAATTTAGACCTTCTAATATGCATACTGTATGCGTTATACAAGAGAATGGGGTCCACAGGTGAAGTGTAAAAGGAAAAGTCCTAGAAGTTTTGCACTTTTTGACTTTTTAGAAGAGACTGTGGATGAGAAATCATCATGAAGATGTTTCCCTATCTTGGGGCAGTATGGACTTGCTGGTCATACTCCCTCCAAGGGATTTCGAGTGTTTCTACCAGATGGAGTTGGAAATAGAGGAACCAGAAGCCTAAGATAGCACTTTTGTTGCCACTCTTTGTAATGCAAAATTGGCATTTAAACTGTGAAGTTCAAAGAACATGATGTCTGTCCCCTTTTAGTCCATTAGCAGTAGTACAGTACACTAGTGGATAAAAGGATAGTAGACAAAAGGCTAAAGACTGAGATTGCAGCTGCAAAGTTTGAGAAGCTGCAATTCACATCATACTTGGAGTTGGAGTCACTTAGATCTTGCAATTTTCCATGGATGAGAATTCTAAATCATTTCCCACTAGGAAACCTAATAGGAGTGATCATTTTTCATCTGCAAGGCACCAATGGAGTGGTTATAAAGCCTCTGCCCAACAGTGGCCCTGTCCATGGCTGAGAAATCATCCAGAGTTGGACCCACTGGATGGCATGTGGCTCGATGGCATGTGGCTACTGGCATTCACCAGTATTTTTCTTTGCCATAGTGCTACTATATATATTATATGGGACAGGCTCAACTAGAATTGGTAACAGCATGCACCACACAGGGACACCTATGAAGCTATGATCAGCAGGTTCCTGATTAACAGGTTTCCCCTAATTGCCTCCAATCAACAAAGAGACGGCACTTGTATCCTTATAGCCTTATAATGTTCTGTCAGCATTCAGCCTTTTCACCCAGCAGCGGGCCCCCACAGCAGAGAAGGCAAGTCTTAAACATCAGCTTGCATAAATAAAAGACGATGGACAGCCGAGACTAATGAGGTGTGGACCTCGGAATGGAGACCTTTTCCCAACCAAAGTTTTAAAAAACATCCAGGGATGCAGGAAAATTTGTTTTCTCCACATCAGATATAAAACCGGGAGCTCTTCATCATATGTAGGTGACAAATACACACTGTCCAGAACTTTTCTGGTGATGAAAGATTTGGTCAGATGGAGGAGATAAAGTTCTGGGTACTGCACAGATCAAGAGGTCTGATGGGCATGTTGGTGACATGTGCCATGCTGATCAATGGAAGAGGAAAGCTTGCTGCTATTACGGCTATAAATGGTCAGTGCAAAATACCAGCAATGAGAGGATTTCAAGACGAAAGGACTGATACTCTGCATTTTGAACATTTGGGAGGTAAGCATTTGGTGAAACTAGACACCTGCTTAAAGCAGTAGAAAATCATAGTTTTATTTAAAGGGGTCACTACTACAGAAATAAGGAAACAATTACCATATATAATAATCACATATTTAGCTAAAATTGCTGTCCACACTGTTGATTTATCATATAAATTAAAGTATAACAAAAAAATATATATTTTTTTAGTTTTGGATAGAGTGGAAATGGATTAGAACACCTATTAGGATTTTATTGCTGTCTGTGCCCCAGTTAGGGGGATTCACCCTCTCTATTTGTACTGTTTACCATTGTCATTGAAAGTAAAAGAGAATCCAAAATTTTGGGTTGTCCCCAGAAAAGTAATAGATGAGAAATCTATCTAATGGGACACTAGTTCTGGTGACCTGGGGGCTCCCAAGGAACCCCCTTAACCCCTACCTGCCTTACTTCCAGGGAAGGTTGCAGGTTAGAACCTATTCCACCTATTGATATCTTAGTAAAATAGAAATAACTGTTTTGCATGGACAGCTATCACAGTATTCTAACCTTTCATCAAAGAAAATCAGTCATTTTAACACATCTGTTAAAATATGTTAACTGATGTTGTCTATTGTAGCCTAGGAACCCCCAAACATATCTTAGGTGGATTTAAAAGGCAGTCTTCTCACGTTACAATCTTTGATTCTTCTCTATGAATTTTGTTAGCGGGGAGAATTTCCCCTGCTGATTCAGTACTCTTTATGTCAGAGCTGTCTGTAAATCAGTTGACATAGGATTATGTTTGCCCAGGTGATCAGTTAACTTGATTTCCCCTAATTTCCATTTGCTTTAGCTTCTTGCTGGTGGGGCTGGTATGAGTAATCTACACAACTGTACATAATGAGAATGTACTCAGTCTTTGTGTCCTCCAGACTTCAGGAGAAAAGCCATGATGACAGAAATGTTCCTGATGGCAGGGGGGATGCCAGCTAGGAGTCCCAAGTTTATTTAGGAAAACTGTGCCTTTTTTTTTTTTTACTGTGCCAGTTTTTAGCTTGCTGTATTATGTGGAGTGTTTTTAGATTACAGCCTATGAATGACTCATTAGTAATGTCAATAAAACATGTTTTATGTCAGGCCTAGTCAATTGAGGCAGCAAAAAAATGGCCCCTATTCCTCCTTAATGCAAATGACTCATAAATATAAATAATCATGTCATTTGAATTTTGAAAGCTCACTTTAATATTTGCTAGAAACAAACAAAAGGGACATAAAGGCAGATACTAGTGATGGTCTGAGCACCCCCATGTTTGGTTTGTGGTCGAACATTCAAACCTAATGAACATTTGACCTGCAAACTTCGAACTCAATGCAAGTCTATGGGACTCGAACTTGTAAATTCAAAAGTGCCATTAAATATCATGCTTGGGGGTCCCCTTAACCTCCCTAGCGGTCTGATTTTGTCAATATTTCTGTGCTCAAAGCGGTACTTTTTTTGCATGGAAATATGTATTTTTTTTTATTGTAGGCCTGTAATTTTTAGGAATAGCTTACTGAAATCTGTCCGAACAAAAGTCTAGTAAACATCCCGGGTATATTAAAATTTGAAACACGAAATCATAAATTATAATTTAATAAATAATCATAAAAAATAATAATATAATAAATGTAATTCCATAATATAATCAAACCAAAAACACTGAAATGTGAAATATAGCGCCAAGTTCGCACATCACTAAGCAAAGTCGCAAAATCGTTTTCAGTGTCTGATGACGAATTTCCCCACGAATCATTATCACTCAATTCTGCAAGTGGTTCTAATTTACTATCGCTGTTCTCTAGCTGGTCTAAAACCGCTTTTGACCTAAAGGGACGCTTTTTGGACGCCATGGACGTTTCTCAGTTTCCAGACAGAAAGAACAGTAAAAATGTAGGCAGGGCACAGGACAAAGCACTCGGGACAAAATGTATGTGAAATGGTTTGATACAGTAATGTTTTACTATGTTATTTTAGTGAATTTAGTGAATGTCACTTTTTGTCATTTTCAAATTTCCCGCCGTTCCGTTCCCGTACCTCCCGACATTGCAGGGGACAGAACACAGAAGACAGATGCCGGCATCCGCCGGAGGACATTACAGTGGACACTGCAGGAGGGACATCGCGGGAGTGCAGGACAAGGTAAGAGAAGAACAGATCCCGGAGCAGCACCGCATGGTAAGCCCGAGTGTAGCTCGGGGTTACCGCTTGTGGTACTGAAACTTTATCCCGAACTACACTCGGGAATACCGCCAGGGAGGCTACACTACCCCTTAAATGACATAAAATGATTTTTATTTTTTTAAAATTACAGCATGAGGTCCCCCCCAATCCCTACCAGACCCTTTAGGTCTGGTAAGAAGGTTAGGAGGGACCCCACAGTAAAAACGTTTTAAAAAGTGAGTGGGGTTCCCCCTAAAAGCCATACTGGGCCCTTTAGGCCTTGTATAAATTTTAAGGGGAACCTCACCCTAATAAAATTAGGGAAAATAATCTTGGTGTCCCCCCTAAATTCCTACCAGACACTTGATTGGAGCACAGGCCTGGCAAGGCAGGAAAGGGGGGCGATCGAGTGCCCCCCCTTGCAGCTTACCAGGCCACGTGCCCTCGACATAGGGACAGCGTCCTCATGCCGATGGGGACAAGGGCCTCTTCCCCACAACCATGGCCCGGTGGTTGTGAGGGTCTGCAGGCAGGGGGGCTCATTAGCATC